TTTGGAGGATATATTTCTTTAAACTGAGGCCCTGTGCTAAGTGCTGGAAGTGAGGTCTACTGCGTACTATTTAGCAGACTCTACAAGTGCACAGGAAATTGTAAAATCATTGTTAATATTTTCATAAGAAGGCTGACACAAATGGTAAATGTAATACATTGAATAAATGGTTATGCCCGCTATGAAAGCTTGACAGCACGAATCTAAGTAAGACTCTAGCCAATTGTGTTTTTTTGTTTTTTTTTTTTCTTGGCTAGAGTGTGATGGACCACAACCTCTGTCAATATTTTAGATTTCTCTTCACTTCCTAAAAAAAAATTATACTTGGAAGTCCATTTTAAGATGTTTATGTACATAAAGTCTCTGAAGAAACAAATGTGACAATTCTGTGAAGAGGCATATGAAGTGTCATTATAGTCACATTGCAGAACTGTCAGTTCTCATAGCATTCCTGTGAGCCTTATTGATTTCGATTTATTCTGACCAATCTTTTGCATTAGAACAATCATGTCTATAGGGAGCAATTGACAAACATTTTCACTGAAATTGCTATACTATTGTTATACTATCAACAATGCACACTTAGCTGTGGTTTCATTGTTTATATTGCATATTTTTGTCCATTGAAACATCTATTATAACAGTAGGCTGTATACAGCAGGGGCGGACTGACCATTTGGAAACTCGAGCACTGCCCAAGGGCCCGGGGTCAGTAGGGGGCCCCATGAGATGCCCCTGGTACCTTTTTCATAGGCTTTTTTGAGTTTGAGCAAGGACACAGGGGCCCCATGATCCCTATTGCCCGGGGGCCCCATGAGTTGTCAGTCTGCCCCTGGTATACAGTATATACAAACTCAGTGCTGTGCTAGAAATACACCACAAGATGAATAAAACAAAAGAAAATAAACATGTCCAAATTAGAGTCCTTTTAAAGTTTTGCAAGAGAATAATTCCCTGTGTAGACAGTCACTAAAAAAGAGAAGACTCAAATCTGCTTACCAAATAGATATGGCTCTCTAGGTTTAAAAAGTTATATACCACTTTAGGATTGCATACAGATCAACACTCCCAGCCTCTAAGCATCTCCCTCTGCAATGGTGGTTCTCCTTTGGGGGTATAGGTCTCATCCCCCGGTCAAGGGTCCAAACATAGTTACATAGTTACATAATTAGCCTAGCTGAAAAAAGACCAAGGTCCATCCAGTTTAACCTAAAAAAAAGGTATAATCCTATACACACAATTGATCCAGAGGAACACAATAAAAACCCAGCAAAGCATGATCCAATTTTCTCCTGGAGGAAGGAAAAAATTCCTTCCTGATCCAAACGGATATTCCCTAGATCAACTTTACCTATAAATGTTAGTATCCAGTTATATTCTGTGTATCTAGGAAAGAATCCAGGTCTTTTTAAAAGCACTCTACTGAGCTGGCCAGAACTTGGGGGAGTCTTTTCCACATTTTCACAGCTCTTACTGTGAAGAAACCTTTCCGTATTTGGAGATTAAATCTCTTTTCTTCCAGACGTAAAGAGTGCCCCCTTGTCCTCTGTGATGACCTCAGGGTGAATAACTCTACACCGAGTTCACTATATGAACCACTGATGTATTTATACATGTTGATCATATCCCCCTTAATCTCCTCTTCTCAAGAGAAAATCAATTCAGTTCCTCTAATCTTTCCTCATAGCTGAGCTCTTCCATGTCTCTTATCAGTTTGGTTGCCCTTCTCTGCACTTTCTCCAGTTCCCCAATATTCTTTTTGTGAATTGGTGCCCAAAACTGAACTGCATGTTCCAGATGAGGTATTACTAATGATTTGTACAGGGGTAATATGATATCTCTCTCTCTCTGGAGTCTATACCTCTTTTAAAGAAGAGTGGATTTTGCTCGCTTTAGAAACTGCAGCTTGGCATTGCATGCCATTATTAAGCTTGTGATCTACCAGAACTCCCAGATCCTTCACCATTGATTCCCCCAGTTGTACCCCCCCCCCCCTAGTATGTATGATGCATGCATATTATTACCTCCAAGTGCATTAAACTACATTTATCAACATTGAACCTCATTTGCCACATAGTTGCCCCATTGAACAGTGCATTGAGGTCGGCTTGTAAGTTGGAGACATCCTGTAAGGACGTTATTCCACTGCAAAGCTCAGTGTCATCTGCAAAGACTGAAATGGTATTTTTAATCCCTATATCATTTATAATATTTTAAAAAGTAAGGGTCCCAACACCAAACCTTGGGGTACACCACTGACAACCCTAGACCATTCAGAGTCATTAACCACTACTCTCTGAATACGATCTTTTAGCCGGTTTCTACCCATTTACATACAGATCTTTCCAAGCCTGTAGACTTTACCTTATGCATTAGCCATGTGTGGGGAACTGTGTCAAACGCTTTAGCAAAATCCTAGTATACCATGTCCACAGCCAGCCCTCTGTCCAAGGTTTTGCTCACCTCCTCATAAAAAGAAATCAGATTTGTTTGACAACTCCTGTTTTTCATGAATCTGTGCTGTCTGTTGCTTAAAATATTTTTTTCCAGCAAGAACTCGGCCTTTATTAAACTCTCCAATATCTTCACAACTATAGATGTTAAACTAACAGGTCTATAATTAGTTGGTAAAGATTTTGAACCCTTTTTAAATACAGGCACCACATTGCCCACCACATTGGCCTTACACCAATCCAGTGGTATTATGCCAGTCATTAACCGGTTCCCGCCCGGCCAATAGCACAAAGGCGGCCGGCAAAACAACTCGTCCTTTCAGGCATGTGCAGTTTGCCTGCCCGCAGGGCCGCTCTGCGGCGCGATCTGTCACTGGCCATGTACCTCGGACATGGCCGATGACAGATGTGTGTACCGGCCCCGTTTCCAGTACCATGTGACTTGCAGGTCACATGACAGTTGTATACAATTGATGGCTTCCTTTCATGCCATCCATTGTATACAAGTGTGTCTAGCTGTGAATGGTCACAGCGATCACATGCACAAGCTGGGCCAATCACAGCCCAGCTGTGTCATGTGATTAGCCGTGGCCAAATCACAGCTAAGCACAAATAAAAAACCCTGAATGAATCAATGTCATTCAGGTAAATGCTTGCGTATAGCAAAGTAATTCTTTGCTATACGCAAATTGTGTAAAAAAAAAAATACTGATCACGTCCCCAAAGTAGTACAATGTTACTATGGTAACATTATATTACTTTGGTCATAGTGAAATATGAAAGAAAAATCTTAAAAAAAGAGACAAAAAAATGTAATACAAAATTAAAAATAATCAAAAAATAAAAAATAAATTAAAATAAATTATTAATTTTTTTTTTTTTTTGTACTGTCACCAGTGTCCCTGATCACTGCCACGCCAGTTATATGATGCTGCTGTACTGCACTAGTGATAGTATGTAAAAAAAAAAAATAGTGAAAATAATTTTTTTAATTTTTTTATTTTTCGAAAAATGACAAAAAAATTACAACTTCAAAAAACTCGCCATGCCTCTTATGAAATACGTTGGACTGTCATTTGGGGGATATCTGTACTGTTCTAACATTCTTGGACCTCAAGAAATTAGATTGGCCATCAGTACTTCAGGATTGATCAATTTTCGGATATATCCCATAGTTTGTGAGCTCTATAACTTTCCTACAAGCTAAATAATAAATACTAATTTGGGTTATTTTCACCAAAGACATGTAGCAGAATACATCTTGGCCTAAATTTATGAAGAACAATTATTTATTTGCAAACCTTTATAACAGTAACAAAGAAAAACGTGTTTTTTTTCAAAATGTTCAGTCTTTTTTTGTCAATTTAACAAAAAATAAAAATCCCAGTGTTGTTTAAATACCACCAAAAGAAATCTCTAGTTGTGTGAAGAAAATGATAACATTTTAGTTTGGGTACAATGTTGTATGACCACACAATTGTCATTCAAAGTGTGAGAGCGCTAAAACCTGAAACATGGCCTGGGCAGGAAGGGGGTAAAAGTGCCCTGTATGGAAGCCAATGTGGATCATCTCTGGCTGTGTCAATATTATGCCCAAGAGCTCCCCCATGCTCCTTTGTATACACAGAGCTGAAGAAAGTATTTAATACATTTGCTTTCTCTTTGTCCCCGGTCACCCACTCTAGAATATTTTGTGAAGGGCCTACATGCTCGGACCGAACCTTTTTACTATTAATATATTTGAAAAATGTTTGGGGGTTTGTCCTGCTATCTTTTGCAATCTGTCATTCGTTCTCATTCGCTCTCTTTCTTTTTACATACTCTGCTTTATTCTTTGTAATGTTTAAACAATGATAGCGTTCCTTCATTTTTATAATTAATAAAAGCTCTTTTCTTATCATTTATAGCTTTTTTAACTTTGGCTGTAAGCTACATAGGTTGAATTTTTAGCCCTTTAATCACAATCCTACAGGGCACTTATACCGACTTCCTGCCCAGGCCAATTTCCAGCTTTCAGCGCTGTCACACTTTGAATGACAATTACGCGGTCATGCAACACTATACCCATATGAAATTTTATTATTTTTTTGTGACAGATAGAGCTTTATTTTGGTGGTATTTAATCACCTCTGGGTTTTTTATTTTTTCTTAAACAAACCAAAAACTACTGAAAATTTTGAAAATAAAAGTTTTTCTCAGTTTTTGTTATACAATTTTGTAAATAAGTGATTTTTCTCCTTCACTGATGTGCGCTAATGAAGCTGCAGTGATGGGCACTGATAGGCTGCACTGATGGACACTGATAGGTGGCACTGATGGACACTGATGAGCAGGCACTGGTAGGTGGCACTGATGGGCATTGACAGGCATCACTGATGGGCACTGAAAGACAGCACTGATACATGGCACTGATAGGCAGCACTGATAGGCGGCACTAACTGGCACTGTTAGGCGGCACTGACTGGCACTGTTAGGCAGCACTGACTGGCACTGTTAGGCGGCACTGACTGGCACTGATAGGTGGCACTGATGCACACTGATGGGCGGCACTGACTAGCACTGATATGCGGCACTGACTGGCACTGATAGGTGACACTGATTGGCAGCACTGATAGGCGGCACTGACTGGCACTGGTGGGTGACACTGAAAGGCAGCTCAGATGGGCACTGATATGTGGCATTGATGTGCACTGGTAGGCACTGATATGTGGCATTGATGTGGCACTGATGGGCACTGGCAGGTGGCATGGATGAGCACTGACATAAGGCACTGATGGACACTGACAGGTGGCACTGCTGGGGCTGCACTGATCATCAGGGCACACTGATCATCAGTGCCCTGATGATCAGTGTACATGCCCCCTCTGCGGAAAGCTGATTACTGGGTCCCCTCTCCTCTGGAGCTGTCAGCGTGACAGCTCGAGAGGAGAGAAATGCCGATAACTGGCATTTCCCTATTTACATGTGATCAGCTGTGATTGGACACAGCTGATCACATGACTGAGCTGACATCTTCTGCTCTTTCCGTGATCGGTGATCCGCTGTGTCCGAGGAACACAGCGCACCGCGATCGCCAAGCTGTGTGCTCCCTGAGACGTGCATGCACGGTGAGAATGGGAGGACGTCATATGACATCCTCCCAGAATGAGAGAATTACTATACGGGAGGTGGTTAAACTTGTTGCCATGGAAATATATTTTGCAGTGTGTTCACGTACAATCTTTTTGAAGAACTCCCATTTCTGTGTTGTGTTCATTATGCAAATATTCCCTCCCAGTCTAAGTCTTGGAGAGTAGCTTTCAGCCTTGGAAAATTAGCTCTCTTAAAGTTGATCATTATTATTTTTCTTTATGTGTTTGTTGTTTACAGCTAACAATAAATGAAATTATGTTATGGTCACTTCTACCCAGGTGTTCTTTTATATGGAGATTAGTAATAAACTCTGCATGGTTTGAGATTACCAGGTGCAGCAGAGCATCATTCCTCTATACATGCAGGTAAGCACCTCGAACCCCTCATGCATCGCACTGTATTGTTATTGTACTGTCTTATGTATTGTCCCCCATTGTAATGTACAGCACTGAGTGAACTGTTGGCACTATATAAATACTGTATAATAATAATAAAGTACCAATAAAGAAAGGATCACAGGCTCCACAGAGTGTGAAAATTAACTAACTTTTATTAAAACCACATAAATTACAGGTAAGGCAAAAGAATGGTGCTGTCTAAAATCCCCGATCTCAGCAGTTCCTGCTCAAGTGATGATGTCACAACAGGCTCCACCTCTCCATTGGTATATATTCTTAGTAGAATACTGCGTGTGGGCTTTTAGCAAATATCAGACTGCACCAACAAAGTGCTGACAGCACAAGCAGTGTATGCTTGTATATTTATTGTAGATCCCACAAGGATCTTCAAAAACTCAGCATTAAACACTCTTTAATTTTATTTGGTGATAAAAGCAGCCATGGGGTGACAAGGCTCACTTAATGTTTCTCAGTTAGTGTGTCTACAGAGGAGCAACTTTGTTAACCGAGACAGGGTGTGTTGAGACTACAGTACATCTCACCCTCTCCTCATCTTCATAATATAGGAGAAGATGTTCATTAGTCCCAACACTCCCTGTCCTAGGGTGACAGTGGTGCTGCTGGACACAGAGGAGAACTGGGCAGGATTGATAAGACTGCTTGAGATAACCCTGAAGAGTGCACAGGACACAGGATTTCTCTCAAGATCAACAGTTGTATTTTTTAGACTTAGTGCAGAGATTTAAAAAAAAACACTTTAAATGGTGTATTTAAAAGATTGAACGGGGACAAGTTATAGAAGTTCATTGTTGGAGCGTGCATACATTTTAAGTTAAACAACTTGCATAACAGGATGTCTCCAAATCTCAAAAATGGAAATTGAGGTGCCTCACCACTGCTAAGATGTCCGAATAAAACTTTATTCCAATAAATGTCACTGGGACAACCAAAAATGTATCTAGCACATTTCAAAGGTACAAAAATTCTCCCTTCATCAGGGCTTGATTGAAAACTAGAAGTGAGCTAGACCTTTAATGTGATTTCTTTCAGTTTGATTACAAGCACAGACCTTGTCAGCAACTGTTTTGGCAACCGGCTAACTTCTAGGCCATTCACATTGTTTTCAATCAAGCCCTAATGAAGGGGACATGTTTGGATCCCTGATATGTTTTAGATACTCTTTGGATTGTTCCCCTGACTTTTAATGGAATAAAGCTGTATCTGGACCTCTAAACAGTGACATGGTGCTTCAATTTCCATTTTTGTTCCATCACACTACAAGCCAAGGAGATAGTGGAGATCCTCTAGGGTGTAGAAGCTGCCTGCTTGGAAGCCAGATTATTTATATCAACATCATTACTTTAGTGATACCAATAAGATAAACCATAAGGGTCTAGCTCTATTCTCAATCTACCATAAATTGTCATCTTTTTTATCTTGTACTTTTACTTGATTTCTTTTTCTAAAAATGTCATCTTTATTAGCCTTCTTAACTAAACAAGTATTCCAAACTGCTGAAATGCTATTTTGAACTATCACTGTTGAGTTTATAATCAATAATCCAGTGAAGCAGAAGGGTTTGGTCCTGAGAGTTTTATATCTACAGATTCGAATGAGGGTTATTAAAATGCAGGTGGGAAGTGAGCATTTTAAATGGACTTGTTGCTTTGCTGTACATGGGCATCTGAGAACAACTATGCTGAAGACTAACTTTTCCATGTTAATAGATTTGGGAAAGTTAGTCTTCAGCATATTTCATCTCAGATGCTCATGAAGCGCAAGGCAACAAGTCCAAGTTAAAGAATTTATGCAAAACTGAAGGTTTTGGTTATGTTAGTTATGGTGCTACCAGGGAGTCTGACATTGAGCTGTACAAAAGAGATAGTCTGCATCCCTCACACAAGGGTGCTGAGCTTCTTAGTATGGAATTTAGGAGCTTTTTGGACATTCATTTAAACTGAGAAATGGGGGCAGAGATGTAATTGTTGAGGAGCATTTATGTCCCCAGCAGGTTGAAACAAATGTGAGGGGTTGTGTTGCTAAGGACTGGGCTGATGGGTTCACTTCAGTTAAAGTTTCTGGTGGTAAAAATAAAGCAGTAGATGGCAGTGTTTGTCATGTCATGTGCACTAATCCTCGTAGTTTAGGCAACAAGCTTTGTGAACTGACAGCTCTTATGTCCATGGACAACTTGGACCTTGTCGCAATTACAGAGACGTGGCTCAAGGATTCAAATGACTGGGAAATAGCTATACCAGGGTATATACTATACCCTGTTGGTGAGGGGGCGAACTGGACACCTTGGCTGCCATTGTGCAATATGCTGGGTGTCCAGTGCACTCCTGTACCTTTAAGAAGGGGTGACATCACTCAGGTCCACCTGCCCTTGGTTTATCCATTAAATGCATGTGTCTCTACTATGGCGGCTCTCAAACTCTATTCTGTAGAGTTAGGACCAGGGGCGGACTGACAACTCATGGGGCCCCCGGGCAATAGGGGATCATGGGGCCCCTGTGTCCTTGCCCAAACTCAAAAAAGCCTATGAAAAAGGTACCAGGGGATCTCATGGGGCCCCCTACTGACCCTGGGCCCTCAGGCAGTGCCCGGGTTTCCAAATGGTCAGTCCGCCCCTGGTTAGGACTACAGAATATCAGGGTGCCAGGATGAGGCGTACTGTATGTGTTTGCAAATGTGTGCTAACTAAACCCCTGTTTTTAAGGCATACTGTTAGACAGTTTAATTCGGTTTATTTGCTGGCTGGCTGGAAAGTTGATCCAGGAATTTTTCTCTTTTGTTGTTTGACATGCGTTGCCCTTTCATGTGATCTTTGTAGTGAAGGACAGTCATAGACTGGGACAGTGGCCATTTTTTGTACTATACAGGAAAGACAGAGTAGGGAAGAGGAGAGGCGGAGTTACCATATATGTCACAAATACCATAAGGCTTAATTCAAAAAACAAATGAGATACTCTAAATCCTTTGGGTCTGCCTTTCAACCAGAGAGGGATCTTCCATTACAATTGGTATAATATACAGACCCCCAGGACAGACTGAAGGTTATGATAACTTGTTGATTGATGAGATAACTCAAATGGCAATGAAGGGGGAGGTTTTGATTATGGGTGACTTCAACATGCCTGACATTAACTGTGATTCTCAAACTGCTATTACAAGCAAGAGCAGGGATATAATGGAAGCACTGAATGGGCTTTCTATAAAACAGTAAGTCCAACTCAAGGCAATCATATTCTAGAACTGACAAATGGGGATTGACTGTCTAATGTTGAGGTGGGAGAAAATTTTGGTTCTAGTGATCACCAATGTCTTTGGTTTGATATTAAAATATGAACAGAAAATCATATACAAAAATAAAAGTTTTAGATTTCAAAAAGACAAATTTTGCTGAAATTGGTGAATTTCTAAAAAATGGTGAAAGGTTGGAGTAAAACGACAGGAGTAAGTAATCAGTGGGCACTGTTAACGTCTATCGTCCTGGAGGCACGTTTATAGATTATATGTCAGGCAAGTTAATAAGAATAAATAGAAGAAAAAAAAACATTATGGTCCACTAAAGAATAGACAAAAGGAGGCCAAACACATTATCAGTGCTGCCAAATCACAGAAAGAGGAGGAAAATCCCAATGCTAAATCTATTAAGACAGGAGATAAAACCTTTTTTAAGTACATTAGTGATAGAAAGAAAAAATGTGATAGGATCATTAAAATAAAAACTGGGAACAACACTTATGTTAAGAGTTACCTGGATGTAGCAAACCACTTAAACAAGTACTTTTGTTCAGTCTTCTCAGAAATAAATTATAACAATAATAAGTTGGGAAATCATATTGGTTCTAGTAATGATGGTTCATTTTTAGGATTTCCAGAGGCAGAGGTAGCCTAGGAACTGGCTCAGTTAAAGATTAATAAAGCAATGGGCCCTGATGGTATTCATCTCAGAGTTCTAAGAGAACTTTGAGGTATAGTTGTTGGACCATTAAGAGAACTTCAAGATATAGTAGTTGGACTCTTATCACGTGGCTCTGGGATGCTCCTGCATTCCACGGACCAGAAATAGGCAACTGGAAGTGCCGCAAAAGGCTCCTCCTTGTAGTACATAGTACACAGCTCACACTATCAATGTATTTTTTTTATTTCTTGCATATTGTATTTTGAGGATGTCACAAATAATCACTGTTGCATAAATCCACACAGTAGCATATTCAAAATTCTGTGGAGGGTGTATTGTAATACATCATAACTTAGTTTAAATTTTTAATATCACATTATTGGATTTATTTGAGGAGTAAGCACACATAGCATACAAGTGTTGCACACATAAGGGAGGAAGGTGTTTTATAGCACTATTTAGTAACAATAAAATGTTTGTAATTTTGTCATCTTTATCCATTTGAGGATATAAGAGGAGTGGTAGGCAGCTACATTGCTGTAATTATCAGTACATAAGCACGAACAATAAAAGAGGTATTGATCACTTAAAAACAGGACTTGCTGGATCCAAAGCAGCA